GGAGAGAAATAGGTCGAGGCTGTTCCATCGTCTGTCATCGCGTCACATGACTGGTTGGCACAACAGAAGGTAGACGCCCAACAACCGTGGATTCTAGCACATGAGCGAGAGTGGATGTAGCAGCTTCGGCAGAGGGACTAATGTTAATGCCAAAACCACCATTCTAGGTGTGAGTTAAGAGAATATGACCGAGCAGCTTACAGTGTGCAGAATCCGGAGTTGATTTTTCAGACAGCCGTGGCCGCTCACGAGGTCAGGACGTTTACTGACAGCATTAGGTAATATCTGAGAGAGAGAGAGAGAGAGAGATAGAGAGAGAGAGAACGCATAGCCACGGTAACGGTCGCCTTTCTGGGCTTGTGAGAGCAGAGTCGAGTGTTTTGTGTGCGGCCTGTGTATTACATTGTCTGAGATAACGATGACTCTGGATGCCTGAATTCGTGTGCGTGTGGGTTGTAGCCGGTTAGGAGAGCAGGCTGGGATAACGAAAAACCTAAACGCAGCAGGTCGCTGAACGGAGACACCGAGCATTCCATGGTAGCTGTCGGCTACACGCTTCCCAAAGGGAATGCCACTGGACGACTTTGCCTTATTAAAACAAAAACGAACTGTTCGCTTTAGTCTGCCCGGAATACAAATGTCAGAAGGATCTTTGAATCACGGTTTCTAGTTAAGCTTCGACTTTTTCTATTATTTTTTGTACTCTCCTTTTTGATGCATTTTTGGACTAAATACATATATTTTCCACATAATCGCACATAAGACCTAGCGTCAACTATCTCTTCGAAGTTACACTGCCCGTCGGATGAAACTGCGGTTAGCTCCTAAGCTACGGACATGGCAACTGTATCTTTGTTGTCACGGCGCTCCCTCAATGTGCTGTCATGAGGAGCATTAGTAAATAGACATGTGAGGTCTTGCATGCATGGACATTGCACGGTCTCTAAAATCTCATAATTAGAAACTGTTTTAAAACCTAAATACACACTTTCTTCGGACATAAAATATGAAGACAATGTGATTTCCCACCAAATAAGCAAAAGAACGCATATTTTGTGTTGTTCTCTTTAAAATATATTTGCATTTATAAGGCCATCGAAAAGCAATTGGAAAAATGCATGCTACGTAAGAAGTCATTTTTTACCGATTGTGGTTTCCGCAGGAGGTCAAAAAGGAGTGCATTCAAAAGCCGACATCCTGGTGAGTCCGAAATATTGTAGGATTATGCCGCATGATGATCAATATTACAATCTCACTCAAGTAATCCTTCCTAATCGGAAACGCATTCCAGAATTTTGGCCAACATTTCATGAGATCGATCACTCACTGTATGTACAGTGCGTGACCTATCTCATGAAATGTTGGCTGAAATTCTGAAATGCGTTTTCGATTAGGAAGGATTACTTGGTCGCGGTTGTGATACTGATTATCTTAAGGCATACTGTTATAACATTTTGGACTCGGCAGGATGTCGGCTTTTAAATGCATTTCTTTTCAATCTCCTGTAGAAGGTGTGCTCGGTAAAAAATGACTACTGAAGTAGCATGCATTTTTCCCATTGATTT